TACATAAAAAATCCCTACAACTCAATAATAAAAAGGCAAACCAATTAAAAAATAGGCAAATGATCTGAACAGACATTTCTCCAAAGATTTACAAGTAGTCAATGACACGTGAATAGATGTAGACACCATTAGCCACCAGGGAAATGCAAATCAATACCACAATGAAATACCACTTCACACCCACTAAGATGACTATAATCAAAAGGACAGATAACAAGTATTGGTGAGGATAGAGAGAAACTGGAACCCTCATACAATGTTGATGAAATGTGAAACAGTGTAGCTGGTTTGAAAAACCGGCAGTTCCTCAAAAGATTATAAAGTTACCATATGATCCAACAATTCCACTCTCAATACATACCCAAGAAAAATAAAAACACAGGTTCACACACAAAAACGTGTACATGAATGTTCTCAGCAACAACATTCATAATAGCTAAAAAGTGGAAACAACCCAAATGTCCATTAACTGATGAATGGATAAACAAAATGTGGTATAAACATACAATGCAATATTTAGCCATAAAAAGAAAGAAAAGTACATGCTACAATATGAACCTTGAAAACACTATGCTGAGTGAAAGTGGCCAGACACAAAGGACCATATATTGTACAATTCCATTTATATGAAATATCCAGAATAGGCAAACTGATTAAACAGAAAACAGACTGGTGGTTGCCCAGGGCTGGGGCAGGCAGAGTTGGTGGGAAATGCGGAGTGACTGCTGTATAGGATTTCTTTTGGGGGCAACGAAAACATCCTAAAATCGATTGTGGTAATGGTTGTACAGCTCTGAACATACAAAAAAACCACTAAACTACATACTTTAAATAGTATGTGAATTACATCTCAATAAAGCTGTTATAAAAAAAGATACTTGGTTACAAAGCTGCCATGAAGTCTGAACCACTGTTTTCTTTAAAAGCAAAAAGCGTCACCCTCAATATTTTATAAATATGACATGCTCAAAACTCAGTATTTATCAAATGTGACATGTTATGAATAATTGCAGGACAGCACATCTTTGCTAATCTTTTGTGATATAACAGTGCATAGTGCAAATTATACTAAAAAATACTGAAATATGTCATAATCTTGAAATTCATTCAATATCAAAAGAAACCCCTTAAGATAGTCATTGTCTTTACAGTTTCAAAGAAGTTACTTGTCAACGTAAAAAATTTATTAAGTAGGGAAGCTATTTCACATCCAGTCTGATTCTAAAACTAATTTTCTTTCCACTAATCACGCTGCCTTCCTCAGAGGACCGATGCCGAACTAGTTATCAGAAAACTTGGAGTCTGGTTAAAGTGTGTCCCTTCCTAGCTGTTTGTCCACTTCAGTTTTTTCATCTGTAAATGCCAAAGTATTGTAATAAAGAATCAAAGTGAAACAAAGAATGGGGAAGTGTTTTTGCACACTGTAAAATTTTATTAAAACCAAAAAAACCCGTAGCTATCAAGTCAATTCCAACTGACAGCAACCGTATAGGATAGCGTAAAACTGCCCCATAGGGTTTCCAAGGCTGTAATCTTTACAGAAGCAGGCTGCCACATCTTTCTCCCACCAAGCAGGGGCTGGGTTTGAATGGCCGACCATTTGGTTAGCAGCAAAGTGCTTAACCACTGAGCCACTAGGGATCCTTAAAATTTTATTACAATTCTTTTTATTGTTTAAAACAAGTTTGCATTTTCTAGTAATGAAAACAAACATCAAACATTAGAAAAAAACATTCCTATAAACTAAAACTAAACAGTTGAGATTGCCAAAATAAAAATAGTCAGAAAAAGGCTTTTCTTTACTTCTGACACTGTTAGGGTTCCCTTTTCCTTACAGGACATAATTCTGACCTCTCTAGAAAAGTCTAGATGGTAATACTCTTCACAAAATAAGCTACATGGGTTTAGCCATCACTACACCACTAAGAGCTTGGCTGCTAACCAAAAGGTGAGCAGTTCAAATCTACCAGGTACTACTTGGAAACCCTCTTGGGCAGTTCTACCCTGTCCTATAGGGTCACTATGAGTCTGAACTGATTCAACGGCAACAGGTCTGGACACCCCTAAAACACACACACACACAAACAAAAAACTGTAAGACAGGGTAGGCAGGCTTACTGTTTTTCACCCAGAATTATGACGATGGTAACAAAAGCACCAATTTTAGTAGTGGCAAAGTGGTTAAGAGCTACGGCGGCTAACCAAAAGGTCGGCAGTTCAAATCCACCAGACGCTCCTTGGAAACTATGCAACAGTTCTGCTCTGTCCTATAGGGTCGCTATGAGTCAGAATAGACTCGACAGCAACAGGTCTTTATCTTCAACTTTTGGGAGCCCTGATAGCGCAGTGGTTAAAGTGCTCGGCTGCTAACCGAAAGGTCAGCTGTTTGAACCCACCAGCCACTCCTTGAGAGAAAGATGTAGCAGTCTGCTTCCATAAAGATTACAGCCTTGGAAACCCTATGGGGCAGTTCTACTCTGTCCTATAGGGTTGCTCTGGGTCAGATTCGAATCGACAGCAAAGGGTTTGGTTTTTGCTATCTTCAACTTTGAGACTCTCTTGATTGATTAACAAAATCTTATCAATTCTAAAAAGCTATATTATATTAGCGTTGACTCACAGTGACCCTACAGGACAGAGTATAACCACCCCAGTCACTATGGGTCACTATAAGTCATAACTGATTAGACAGCAACGAGTTTGGTTTTCAAGGAGCCTGCTGACACAGTGGTTAAGTGCTTATCTGGTAACCAAAAGGTCAGCGGTTCAAACCTACCAGTCACTCTGTGGGAGAAAGATGTGGCAGTCTGCTTCCATAAAGGTTTCCAGCCTTGGAAACCCTATGGGGCAGTTCTACTCTGTCCTACAAGGTCATTATGAGTCAGAATCGACTCCACAGTAATAGGTTTGTTTTTGTATTTTTTAAAAAAAACATATATACAGCTACACCATGGAATACCATGCCATTTAAAAAATCATTTTTTGAAGACTAACCACACTGGAAAATGCTCACAAAACACTGCTGCATAGCAAACAAAAACGAGACATAATAATGCTAGCTAAAATTAATTCACTCAGCACTTACTATATTATCTGAAATTGTGCTTTACATGCCTCATCTTATTGGACCTTCACAATGCCCTACTGGATATTACCACCATTTTATAGATAATGAAACTGTAACACCTAAAGTTCCAGAGCTAATAACTTACTAGCTTCTTCTTACTTAGAAACCTGGAATCTGGACCTATCCAATCATCCATCCAAAAAATACGTGAGTGCCTCTCAGGTGCCCAGGCACTCATTTACACATTAAAATGGCGACTCTGCACAGCCCATACCCTAAAGCTGCATTATACTCTACAGATACAATTTTTATTTAAAAATTAATAAAGATGGGAAAGTATCTCCACCTTGAGCATGAGCTGAGATTCAGGTGTTTGGGAGTAAGGCCCCAGGAATAGACTGGTAAGGGTTTGGGGCTGGAGGTACTGGAATGGAAAGGGTATCATGCTGTCTGTCAGTATTGGCCCCTGGACTCCTGGTCTGGTCTAAGTTCTACGGAGAGATGTTACAGGCAGAGGCTTAAGTTGTTTACAAGAAAGAATCAAAGACATGGAGATATACTTGTGCGACACAAAATCAGAAGGTTACTGTCTCCATTTTTGAGTGGAGCACAGCTTGATTTTAACACTTGTGAGGATTAAAAGAAATGCAGCACTACTTTAACAGCTCCAGATTTTGCAACTCTGACATCAACGGAAACACCCAGAGCAAGAACCAGATGTTAAAGAGAAAACCACCACTTTCCAGGTATCATTGTGAGCAGAGGAAATCAACCAGGCAGGAAGAGATGAATGTGAGAAGACTTGAGTTTCTGGGAAACACCTAAGGGGCTTTCAGAAATAACTTGATGAACTATTACGGAGGATGGAGCTCCTGCTTCAACAAGAGGGGCCAAGAGCCAGTGACCATTCAGTTATTAGGTATTTTGACTCCTTTGTATTCACTGACGTGGTGAAAACTAGAAGGTATAAAAAACTAGAAAAAAATACCAGAATATTAACAGGTCTATCTCTGGATGGTATTATTTCAGGTGATTATTACGGCATTTAAAGTTTTTGTACGTTCACGGTCTGCATTGAGCAGCATGATTTTATAATCAGAAAAAATGAAGGTTTTTAAAATATCAACCATTCAATTCTACTAATAAAAAAAATAATACTTCTAAGGTTAAATTTCAAGCCTACACAAAAATCTGTTTCAGACCTCTTACGAGATAATTATATCTTATTATATATGCAAGGTTAATAGCCACTCTTCTTAGAACTGGGAGTTTATGATAATACATACATTTTGATTAAAAATAATGAAATTTATGCTTCGAATGAAATTATAACCCCAAAATTTATTACATCCCATTACATTTCCCATGTCACTTTGGGTTTGCCTATATATTAACATTCTGTTCCAAAATAGCAAGCTCATATTCACTGGCAAAGCTAAGTCTTAAAATTTAAGTCTAGTCTTAGTCTAGGGCAAGCAGACAATATTGATAAAGAGGCAGAAGTTCTGAGCTATACAATTAACCTCACCAAATAATTTATACTAATCTTCCACTCTGTATGGTGGCTGACTTCTCATATTATCATACGTTGACTTTCTAAAATAATGAGTGAAGTCCATAATTATCAAAATACTTCTATTGCCTTTTCTCGGGCAATATAAGGAAGCTCATGGGTATCTTTGTAAACGTAACCTTACGGCCTATTTCATATTAAGCTACTTTTTTAAAGTAGAAATAAAATTTGAGCATAATCCCAGCTATAAATCCTCTGTGATACTATTTCCTTAGAAAACCAGTATTAACAAAACTGTTTTAGATACCTACCAAATAAAATTGCCTTAGCTTCTGAATAGTGTTCATAAGAAAGTACTTTAATCGAAAAGGAAAACTTTACATTCAGCCATACATTTTAAAAATGGGATCACATTCTTACCTGGAGATTTGATGTCCAGCATAGAGAAGCAGGGCAGTCAAAAAATATAGATAAAGCTGAACCAGATGCTGCCTGGGCAAGGTTAGTAGCACAACACTCAAGATATAACCTGCAGTAGAAATTAAGAGACAGAGATAAATAAAAAGGTGATTCTTATTTAGTTTCCCAATTAATTACACTCTAATAGAGCAAGAGAAAGATGCGGCAGTCTGCGCGCTGAGCAAATAATTCGAAAAGCTGGATTATATAAAGAAGAATGAGGCATCAGGACTGGAGTAAGACTCATTAACAACCTGCAATACGCAGATGACACAACCTGCTTGCTGAGAGCGAAGAGAACTTGAAGCACTTATCGATGAAGATCAAAGACTACAGCCTTCAGTATGGATTACACCTCAACATAAAGAAAACCAAAATCCTCACAACTGGACCAATAGCAACATCATGATAAACAGAGACAATACTGAAGTTGTAAAGGAATTCATTTTACTTGGATCCACAATCAACACCCATGAATGCAGCACTCAAGAAATCAAATGACACATTGCATTGGGCAAATCTACTTCAAAAGGCCTCTTTACAGTGTTAAAAAGCAAAGATGTCACTTTCAAGACTAAGGTGCACCTGATCCAAATCATGGTATTTTCAATCACCTTATATGCATCGGAAAGCTGGACAATGACTAAAGATGACCAAAGAAGAATTGATGCATTTGAATTATGGTACTGGTGAAGAATACCGAATATACTACAGACTAAAAAACGAACAAATCTGTCTTGGAAGAAGTACAGCCAGAATGCTCCTTAGAAGGATAGTGAGACTTTTTCTTACTTATTTTGGACATGTTATGAGGAGGGACCAGTCCCTGGAGAACAACATTGTGCTTGGTTAAGTAGGGGGTCACCAAAAAAGAGGAAGACCCTCAACGAGACAAACTGACACAGTGGCTGCAATTACGGGCTCAAGCATAGCAATGATTGTGAGGATGGCAAAGGACCGGGCAGTGTTTTGTTCTGTTGTACATACTATTGCTAGGAGATGGAACACACTCAAAGGCACCTAACAACAACCACCATCTCTGTGGAGTTTACATTAACTTTACCCAATGAATTTGGTCTTCGTCCTTGGTTCCCAAGAGATAACCTCTAAAATCTCAGAAATTCCCCAGTAATTGAAGTGCCTTGATGATAGGCCTCCAGATTACATCTGATGGTTTATGCTAATGAGGTCTCAGGTGGGGGCTGGCTGGGCTAGGAAGACTACAGGTTGCATGATCATCAGCTGACCTGAGTAGGAAGAAGAGCACAACTGAATCAACCATGATTACACTTGGAGGCCCCAATAAAGGCTCTGGATATGGAAGTTTCATGGACTTCCTGGTCCGTGTTACACATTGATGCATATGTGAGGGCAGCATGTCTCTTTCTGGGGACAAGAAAACACTGCGCTGGGAACCCTCTCAAGACTTTGCCCTAAGTCTTCATTTGTATCCTTTTTCCTACAATAAAACTCAAATCATAAGTAGAGCACTTCCCATCAGTTCTGAGTTGTCCTAATGAATGATCAAATCTAAGAGAATAGTGGGAACCAGCAGGTCAGAAGCAAGCAGGGCTAGGGACCCATGAGCTTACAGCTGGTATCCTGAGGAAGTAGTCGGAAAACCCCAAATTTGTAGCCAGCAAGTCAGGAGTGAAGGTATCATGCTAACTCCCAAGCTTGCAGTTGGTGTCTGAGTTCTTGGGCAGTCCTGGCAGTTTAGAGGACTATATCCTTTAACTTGTGATGTCTGACCTAGCTCTAAGTGGTTAGGATCAGAGGAAGAAGTGCTGTGCATGCAGCTGGTGTCAGAACAAACATGTCAGAAAAGTGAGGATTTGCTATTTTCCACACAACACAAAAATTTTCCTTCCCAGAATGTTGTGGACTTTCCCTTCTCCCGCACATCTCATGAAAGATCAACTGTCAAATCCTCCAGATTTATCATATTCATTTCATTCATTCCTTCAATCATCCGTGAGGATGGTGCAAGACTGAGCACGTTTTGTTCTGTTATACACGAGGTTGCTACTGACTTGAGAGTACCTAGCAACAGCAGCAGCTTCAAATATCCTGTCATTCAACAAACACTATTAAGTGTAAAGTATGAACAATATGGAAGATACAACAAAATGAACAAATCACAGTCTAGTAAAAAGATAAACACGGAAAAAAGTAAGATACAATACTGGTGGCAGAATAAACGAACATTAGAAGTTAATGGTTGTACAAACTTAGTAACTAAGTTTGACCTGGATATCAGAGGGCAGCTGAATTTTTAACAGACTAAGAACAAAGGAGAAATATTCCAAGAAAAGAAAAGTTGCTGTTGTTAAGTGTTGTGCAGTTGGTTCGACTCATAGCAACCGCACATAATACAGAACAAAACTCTACACAGTCCCGCACCATCCTCACAATCGTTGTTATGCTTCAGCCTATCGCTGCAGCCACTGTGCCGCTCTATCTCGTTGAAGGTCTTCCTACTTTTCACTGACCTTCTACTTTACCAAGCACAATGTCCTTCTCCATGGACTGGTCCCTCCTCATAACATGTACAAAGTATGTGAGATGCAGTGTCGCCATCCTTGCTTCTTTAAGAGTATTCTGATTGTACTTCGTCTAAGACAGATGTGTTCATTCTTTGGCAGTCCATGGTATTTTCAATATTTTTCACCAACACTACAATTCAAAGGCATCAATTCTTCTTTTGGTCTTCCTTATTCATCGTCCAGCTTTCCCATGCATATAAGCGACTGAAAACACCATGGCTTGGGTCTGGTGCACCTTAGCCTCCAAGGTGACATCTTTGCTTTTAACACTTTAAAGAGGTCTTTTGCAGTAGATTTGCCCAATACAATGCATCATTTGAGTTCTTGACTGCTGCTTCCATGGGTGTTGACTGTAGGTCCAAGAAAAATGAAATCCTTGACAACTTCAATCTTTTCTCCATTTATCATGACGTTGCTTATTGGTCCAGTTGTGAGGATTCTGGTTTTATGTTGAGGTGTAATCCATACTGAAGGCTGTGGTCTTTGATCTTTATCAATAAGTTCCTTAAAACTGCCTCACTTTCAGCAAGCAAGGTTGTGTCATCTGCATAACATGGGTTATTAAATGAGTCTTCCTCCAATTCTGATGCTGCATTCTTCTTCATATAGTCCAACTTCTAGGATTATTTGCTCAGCATACAGACTGAATAGGTACGGTGAAAGGAAACAACCCTGATGCACACCTTTCCTGACTTTAAAGCATGCAGTATCCCATTTGAATGACTGCCTCGTGGTCTATGTACAGGTTCCGTATGAGCACAAGTGTTATGGAATTCACACTGTTCGAAATGTTATCCATAATTTGTTATGATCCACACAAATAGTCAATAAAACACAGGTAAACATCTTTCTAGTAATCTCTGCTTTTCACCAAGAACCGTATGACATAAGCATATCCCTCGTTCCATGTCCTCTTCTGAATCCAGCTTGACTTTCTGGCAGTTCCTTCTCAACGTACTGCTGCAACCGTTTTTGAATTGTCTTAAGAAAAATTTTACTAGTGTGTGATATTAATGATATTGTTTGATAATTTCTGCATTTTGTTGGATCATCTTTCTTCGGAATGAGCACAAATATAGATTTCTAAGTGGTTGACCAGGTAGCTGTCTTCCAAATTTCTTGGCATAGATAAGCAAGCATCTCCAATGCTGCAATCATTTTTTGAAACATCTCAATTGGCATTCCATCAATTCCTGAAGGCTTGTTTTTCGCCGATGTCTTCAGTGCAGCTTGGACTTCCTCCTTCAGTACCATTGGTTCTTGATCATATGCTACCTCCTAAAATGGCTGAATGTTGACCAATTCTTTTTCGTACAGTGACTCTGTGTACTCCTTCCATCTTCTTTTGATGTTCTGTGTCGTTCAATATCTTCCTTCAATATTGCAACACGAGGCTTGAATTTTTTTCTTTAGTTCTTTGAGCTTGAGAAACACCAAGCACATTCTTCTGTTTTGGTTTTGTCACTCCAGGTCTTTGCACATTTCATTATAATACTTTATCTTTTCAAGCCACCCTTTGAAATTTTCTGTTCAGCTCTTATTACTTCGTTTCTTCCGTTTGCTTTAGCTACTCTCCGTTCAAAGGCAAGTTTCAGAGTCTCTTCTGACACCTGTTTTGATCTTTTCTCTTTCCTGTCTTTTTAATGTCCTTTTGCTTTCTTCATATATGATGTCTTTGGTATCATTCCACAACTCGTGTAGTTTTTGGTCTTTAGTGTTCATCAAATTTATTCTTAAGATGGTCTCTAAATTCAGGTGGGATATACTCAAGGTTATATTTTGGCTCTCGTGGACTACTCTAATTTTCTTCAGCTTCAACTTGAACTTGCATATAAACAATTGATGGTCTGCTCCGCAGTGGACTCCTGGACTTATTCTGAAAGATGATATTGAGCTTCTCCAGTGTTTCTTTCCACAGATATAGTCAATTTGTTTCTGCATATTCCATCTAGTGAGGTCCATGTGTACAGTCACCGTTTATGTTGTTGAAAAAACGTATTTGCAAGGAAGAAGTCATTGGTCTTGCAAAATTCTATCATGCAATCACCAACATCGTTTCTATTACCAAGGCCGTATTTTCCAACTATTGATCCTTCTGTGTTTCCAACTTTCATGTTACAATAGGAAGTAATTATCAATGCATCTTCATTGGATGTCTGATCAATTTTAGACTACAGAAGTGGGTAATTATCTTCAGTTTTTTTCATCATTGGCATTAGTGGTTGCTGCATAAGTGTGAATAACAGTCACACTAACTGGTCTTCCTTATAAGCATACAGACATTATCCTATCACCAACAGCACTGTACTTCTGGATAGATCTTGAAATTTTTTTTGGGGGGGGGACAATGAATGAGATGTCATTCCTCTTCAATTTGTCACTCCCAGCCTAGCAGACCATATGACTGTCAGAATCAAAATGGCCAATACCAGTCCATATCAGCTCACCAATGCCTAGGACATTGATTGATCTTTATGCATCCATTTCATTTTTGATGACTTCCAATTTTTCTTAACTCATACCT